CTGGGCCACAGTAGCCCCTCCAGCCGGATAAGGGAGATGCCAGAAGAAAAACTAAAGCTTTCACGGATCTAAGATGCTAATAGTTAAACTGGCAAAAACCATTATGCACAAACTTTTGTTAAAGATAAGATGAAAAACAATGGTCTTCTTTCCATTTTCAACCTCAAGATTTACCAGACCGAAGAATTTTATAAAATTTCTTGGCAGTTCTCAAGAATAGAAGTCTCTAATTAAATACATCCAAGATATAAAGCTGCCGCATAGAGTCTAGGAATAAAACTCCAGGAAATTTCCTCTGCCTGCGCCCAGGCTTGTGGCTGGGGCCCTCCCTCAAGGAGGAACACAGAAGCACTTCCTGCTTTGTAAAAGACTGGGGTTAAACGCACAGAGCACAAACCTGGCCTCCCCCCGGGAGGCTCAGGGACCTCAGGCCTGTTGCCACCATCACCAGCACCATCACCAGGGCTCTCCTCACCTTGTGAGGCGGACACCTGTCCCCGTGGGGAACGCCCCGTCCCCCCCCCTGCCCTGGACACCACCCTCCTGCTTTCTGTCTATCTGAGGACTCTCGGGACCTCGCTCAGGTGGAATCAGGCAATGCTGGTCCTTTCGTGAATGGCCACCTCACTGAACATCGTGTCCTCCTTGTCCCCCATGTGGTAGCCTGTGTCAGAATCTCCTCTTTTTGAGACTGAATAATATCGTATTCCCGTGTGTGGATGGACCGCATTTTGGGTGTCCATTCACCCATGAATGGATGCTTCCCACCTCTGGAGGTTGTAAGCAATGCTGCTGTGAGCACAGGTATGGAAACATCTTGCTTTTATAAATCCCACCATCGCAGGCGACTTGTTGGACAGTTCAGCTGCCTCATCACGGTCCTCAGAGCCTCAGTGGGGCGCATCTGCTGCTTCCTCACACAAAGACCACACTTGGTGATCCTTGCTGAAGATGATCTTGATTATTCCTTCCGACTTCCGGAAGTTAGGACAGCTCGTTAACTGGGGCTTTCTTGGCAGCTGTCTTTCCAACTCCTTTAAGGCTTACCTCAAAGTTCTGACTCGTGTCAGGGATGAAAACTGTGATTGAAAATGAGCTAAAACGATGTGTCTAAATGCAAAGCAAACAAACAATGAGAGTTTGAATGTGGTATAAGACAATGATGTATTCTTTGGGTAACCAGTCTGAAAATCGGTCTGAAAGCCCAAATAGTCAAAGAGCTAGGAAAAACCCACGATGATTTCTGAGTTGGTGTCATCTTTCTCCTGATGAAGAACAGAAGCTTAACAGGTGATGGTGACCTGATAACATGAAGCAGGTAGGCCTGAGTCCTGGGCAAAGCGTGGCTGAATCCGGATGCCAGAGGTCACGGCTGAAGTCCCAATTTGCTGCCTAGGTCCACTGCTTCCACTTCCTGAGTCCATTTCCATTTATGTGAAATGGAGACAATGATTTTTAGGAAAGCTCACAAGAATATTATGGGCATTAAGTAGCATGAATGGTGATGGATCTGGCTCAGGGCCTTTCCTTCCCACCCCTGAGAGACGGGCTTCATCAGTCAGGAAACGATGCCTGCGCTGTCATCACTGGAGAAAAATCCTTAAAACTGAGCCAAACTAGTTCAGCTGCTAAGTAAGAAAAAAGATCCTTTCGAACGAATGGCTCAGGGAGGAGGCGAGGCGGCAGAGGACTGGCTCCCTGGGGCGGCTCCCGAGCCCCGTCGCTGGCCAGGTGGGCCGGCCGAGGCCTCGCATCCGTGTGGGGGGCGTGGCCGCATCAGACGCATCCCCGCTCTCCATCAAAGGGCTCTTGCCGCCGGGCAGGTCAGCACGACGAGGCCGACTCTGCGGGGGAAGCACATGATGACCCGTTTTCTTCTCTGGCTTCTTTGGTATTTGGTTTTTCACCAAAACCCTTGTGTCTCTGGGGCGTCTTTTGGTCCCAGCTGCATCTGAGTGAATCCCTGGCCCACCCTTGGTTCTCTTGGTGGCGTGACCACACCAGGATGCTTACTGCTGCCTCAGCTCCGTGCTGTCCTGGGCCGCTGGAGCCCTGCGTGTCGTATACATAGTCAGGAAACGGAGCATGCCGTTAGAAACCCTCTAGTGGATCCACTTCTTTGCATAATCATCTGGTTACTAGTGTCTGATTGCCAGTGCTAAGCCATGATGAGCCAGGTACCTCCTCTGGAGAGAACTGCTGGGTGTGGGGCACTGGGAGGATTAGCTCAGAAAACCAGGACAGGGATCCCGACACCCAGGTCCTAAACTAATCTCTTATCCTGGCCGCTTGTTGAACAACAAAAGCAGCTGTGAGCATGTGGTCCTGAGCACGTAGCATCTTTCTAACCTCACGTAGTGCAGACTGAGTACACGTGAGCGGCCCCTGCAGGGAATGCCAAGGATGGAGGAGAGCGAGGCCCTCCCTTCCCGAGTCAGTGGGGAGTAAGGATGGGTCCAGCCAGTCCATCCTAAAGGAAATCAGTCCTGAAAATTCACTGGAAGGACTGATGCTGAGCCAATACTTTGGCCACCTAACATAAAGAACTGACTCGTCGAAAAAGACCCTGATGCTGGAAAGATTGAAGGCAGGAGAAGGGGAAGACAGAGGATGAGATGGTTGGATGACATCACCAATTTGATGGACATGAGTTTGAGTAAACTCTGGGAGATGGTGAAGGACAGGGAAGACTGGCGTGCTGCAGTCCATGGGGTAGCAAAGAGTAGGACACGACTGAGCAACTGAACTGAACTGAATTGAAAGATGGATAGTAAACCGTGGGTTGCAGGTGCAAAAGGGTTCCAGGACAGAGCTGAGGCACTGTAGGACTCCAGCCTCAGCCATACGGTTGGGGAGGCAGCCTGAGGGGACTGGCGTCGGGAAGGACTGCTGCTCTGAGCAGATCTTGTCCCAACAGACAAAGTCCACTGGAGACCATCGCTGGAAGGTCCAGTCTGCACACCTCCTGCTCGGGCAGGCTGTGGGTCCTGGGACAGGGTGACAGGACATCCAGGGTGCTCCTCGGGGAGGCCATGTCATTCCCCCTCCCCCCAAGGTTTCCGGACCGTGAGACCAGAGGTCCCAGTGAGCTTTCCGCTTCCTCCCGGAGGTGGGCCCACAGGTGCCATATTAGCATATTTTCAGAACTGCTGCAGCCCAGGCTTTGATCCACTGGGTTCCCTTGTCTCAGAGAGCCTGCAGTCCCGCAGGAAGTCAGCAGCCTGTTGACTTTACTGGCAGGATAAACAAGCCTTCCTTGACCCACAGAACATGGCAGAAACTGACTTCCTTCCCACCGCCTGTGGAGCGAGGCAGTCTGAGATGGAGGAAGTGGAGGCGTGAGCGTAGCCAGGATTTGGGGCAAAAGTCACTGCTGAATATCCAGCAAAATGCTCCCCATAGAGGCAGGAAGACACTGGGGCATCAGAGTCACCGCTCACAGTCCAGGACAGAGAGAGGGACAGACCCATCGCCCTGGACGCATGCCTTCAAACGCTGACCGCCAGTTCCACGGCGGTGTGCCCTCTGAACCTGCTCCATCTTATTCAGTGAAATGATTGCAAGTGAACTTGAAAAACACGCCTTTTGATAACAGCGTAGCTGATACGTTGAAAACTCAGACTCAAGGAGATAATCATAAGTGCAGCTCTTGTTTTTGTTCTTCTTTTACCCACTTACAGCTGCTCCTCCAAATATCAAGGTAATACATCTTTCCCCCAGGTGAAAAATCTGGTGTCTCCACAGCTTTCTGTTCACTGTTCAATAAAGAATCCAACCAGTGCTGTGAGATACAGAAGCTTAATTAGGCACTCAGGATGCTCAGTCCACATGTAAACAGAACAACTCTGGACTTGGTGCCACGTGGAATCCTAGCCAGGTGGGCCAGGCCGGGAGGCGGGCTGCTCGCTCTCTCTTCTGCTTTGCTCACCCGGTATCTGACCCGGCCACAGGCAAGGGGCTCTGGGGAGGGCACAGAGTTGAGGAAGGGTGAGGAGGCCTGTGTCTGATTGACGCTGTCACACAGGGTGTCAGGGTCACTGAACCTGGCTTGTCGTGTGAGTTGTCTCCCCGACAGGCATTTACAGGGGTCCATGGGGGCACATGGCCTCACTGGGGGCTCAAATGGTAAAGGATCCACCTGCAATGCAGGAGACATAAGACGTGGCTTCAATTCCTGGGTTAGAAAGATCCCCTGGAGAAGGGAATGGCAACCCACTCCAGTGTTCTTGCCTGGAGAATCCCATGGACAGAGGAGTCTGGAGGGCTACAGTCCACGTAGTCGCAAAGAGTCAGACACGCCTGAGCCACTGACACTTTCACTTCACTTTTCACGTGGGAGGAACATGCATGGCAAAGTTGCTTGTTCTTCTCAAAATGAAGATGATATATTTTCTCTGAAGAATCCCAGGAAGATTCTCAAATGATTAGGGTGATTTTATTTGGCGACGACCCTGCGGCCAGGTCAGCAGAGAGTGCGGGAAGGTTATTTCCGTGTGCCCTACGAATGGGAAAGACCAGGACAGTTCGCCTTCTATGTCCTGGGACATGCCAGCCGGCCTATGTATGTGGCCACTGTGGCCGTGTCGCTCTCCTGTCTCCTGGGCATCCCCTGGAGACATCGAGGCCCAGGACTGTGTCCAGGGCGCTGAGGAGGGGGTGTCCTCAGGCCTACCGTGAGCGTGTTCACGGCATGACCTGGAAGAAGGTGCCGGGCAGCCGTGGACGCCTTCCTCTGCCTCCCTCCCCGAGACCCCAAGGCTCCCCCAGGTGCCCCCGCCTGCCTGCACGCAGCACCACGGGGGCCTGGCTCCTCCGAGTGTCTGTGGTGTCGCCTCCAGACACCAGAATAGCAAGATCCCCCCCCTGCCCTCCTGCCCTCGCACAAAAGAAAGAAAACATCCTTGCCCCTGGACCGCTGCCAGCTTTCCAAAATAGTTAAACTTCCCTCACGTTCAAAGAGACCGTCCTGGGAGCCTGCGGGTAGCACAGCCATGACCGACCTGCCCTCCAGACCGTGCAATGACACAGCCAGTGACCCGCAGGCTGAGGAGCACGTCTCCTGCGCTGTTTCCTGTTATCCGGCAGTGGAGACTGCGGCCTGCGGGTCCAGGGGCGGGGAGGGGCCGCAGCTGAGGCCAGAGGGGCATCCAGGGTCAGCGGCCCCGGGGGGCTTGGCGTGTCTCCTGGGCAGCCTCTTGGTGCTACCCTGCCCGGCACCCTCTCACGGCTGGGCCTTCAGCCTCGTCTCCCTGCTTCCTCTTCCTGGGCCTCAGATAGGCTGATAAAACACAAAGCAGAAGCCTCATTGGACTTGGGAGCGTCCGAGATGTAGAAAGACGAAGACCTCGGGAGACTGCTGTTCCCTGCAGTGGGTGCGGACCGAGGGAGTCTGCAGGCTGCTGGCAGCGACCTGGTGAGAAGGTGGAATGCGGTGGGCTCGGTCAGAGGGCAACGCGGTCCGATCCACATGCTGGCCCACGTGCTCTCGAGACAGCAGCCCTTCCCTGGAGGGGAGGCCACTCCCTGTGAGCCCCAGACCGGCCGGCACGGCCCCTGTGCACTTTCTCGGTCTTTAGTGTTTTACATTTGCCCCCACAACCTCTCCCCTCTTCCCGCTCCCACTCAAGGAGTCAAGTCTCAGTTTCGGCGGACACCCATCTGCCCTCAGTGGCTGCCCACAGAAGGGGACTTGATTCCTGACTTAGAAGCAGCTATAAACGTACAGTGCCTCCTATTGCAGCTAGACACCCACCAAAGTGCCAAAGAACTAATGCTTTTGAACTGTGGTGCTGGAGAAGACTCTTGAGAATCTTGGACAGTAAGATCCAACCAGTCCATCCTAAAGGAAATCAGTCCTGAATATTCATTGGAAGGACTGATGCTGAAGCTGAAGCTCCAATACTTTGGCCACCTGATGCAAAGAACTGACTCATTGGAAGAGACCCTGATGCTGGGAAAGATTGAGGGCAGGAGGAGAATGGAAGACAGAGGATGAGATTGTTGGATGGCATCACTGACTGTGTGGCAAGAGTTTGAGGAAACTCTGGGAGTTGGTGATGGACGGGGGAGCCTGGTGTGCAGCAGTCTGTGGGGTCGCAGAGAATTGGACTCTTCTGAGCAACTGAATAAGAACAATACCCCCAACTCCAGCTGGAATTTTCCTCTCTACTCTGGCTCAGGAGCTTGCAGTATTTTATTGAGTTTGGTTTTGATTTCTGATCATAAGGAGCAGAAGAAATATGGAAAATAAATGATGGAATTTATAGGGGGTAAATGAGATCAGACGGAAGAGAAAAGCAAAGATTATGAAAATGATAAAGGAGGAATAATGGCAGGAGACATAAAGCCCCGCAAGAAGGCATACAGGAAACTCAGGAGATGTTTCAGAGGACATGGGAGACTCAGCGTAGGGTGTGGGGTGAGGATGTGACGGTGAAACCTCCGGGAAACATTCACAATGACAGAACCTTCGAGGCCACACCAGGGGCGTGAGCACTGTTCTTCCAATTCCATCCTCAGCGCTGCTCAGATGGTATTTGGGCCCCCTCCGGCCCATGATTCTCCTGTGATTCTCCGAGGTGAGGACCATCCTGCCCTGCGGGAGGCTGAGTGGAATCAGCCCCTCCTCCCGCTGAGACAACCCTGACGGTGTCAGTCAACTGCCAACACCGCTCCAGCGCGACCCAGAGGAGGCTGGCAGGCCTGTGGGCAGTGCTCACTGCTGTCAGGGGTGAGGCGTGGGTGAGCGGTTATCCTAGAGGATTCCATTTTAACGTGGCTTTGAAGGTCTCCTTCCCCCCACGCCCACCCCTACTGCGCATCCTCTGTTCCCACAGCTGGAGGAGGCCTTCCAGTCACACTTGCTGCCTTTGACAGTCCTTTGATCCCACAGATGGGGTGTTGTCCTGCCTGGTGTGGGGGCTCGGGCTCTGTGGTCTCCCTGGGTGCCCAGGTTGCAAAACCCAGGTGTACACCAAGACTCAGACAATAGGAAGACTCATTAGCAGCCCTTTGAAGAGTATGACGGCCCGCCGCCTCCGCCCCCGCCCTCTCCTCCCGGCTCCATCCACAGGGACCTGGCAGAGAGCCCGCCCTGTGTGAGTGGGAGGGGAAGGGCCCGTCTGTGCCAGACTTCATTTCAACTCTGGGTCCAGAGGTCAAGTCAAACTCCTCACTCGGGTCACTGGGGAGGTCATGGCCGGATCTGGAAGCACGGGCCCTGTGGTGTTGGGCACCCTCGCCCGGTACTGGGGGCACAGAGCCCGCTGTTGCCCTCTCAGGACTGGAGATGCCCCCCCACAAGGTTAACACAGAGGGTTAACTCCCCGAATGTGGGGACCCACGTCACCGGGGCTCCGGCGGCAAAGCCTCCTCCAGACCCCAGGACAGCGTGCTCAGCGTCACGTGACGTGGCCTCTCTGTGAGCAGGTGTTACTGTCGCTACCAGTGACCAGAGCTTTACAGCTGAGGAGCTTTAGAAAATATAAGGAAGCAAAACAAAAGAAAACCAGACACCAGCCCCCTGCTGTGTGGAGATACAGATCGCCACGGTTTTGTCTGTGTTCATCCAGCTTTGCTCTTTGCAAAGATGTACATCTTTTAAGGAAACAGTATCGACTACTTTGCCTTAATAATGTCCGGCGAGTGGCTATACGCAGGAACGCGCCACCTGCTGTGCGTGGCTGGGCCTCTGAGACATGGCCCTCAGAGCCCACGAGCATCTGCTTGCTGGGGGCTTAGAAGAATGTGGACGCCTGGGTTCTTCGCTCAGAGGTTCATTCTTTTTTCCTCATTGGTCATGACTGGGGCCTGGAAATCTGAGTATTTGAGAGCTCCCCCAAACCACTGCACAGTGAAGCCCCCGCTGAGCGCCTGCTCTATGGCCTTGCGGCCAGTGGCCTCTTTCACAGGCGGCACCCACATCCCTCCCCGGGAGGAATCACGCCTGGGTGGAGTCACTTCTGCAGCGCTGATACGCAGGCCACGGGGGAGCAGCAATCTGAAGAACTGAAGCAGGCTGCCGCACCTTGGCCTGGCCCCAGGAGGGGCGGCCTCGGGGATGGGCCAGCAGGTGGGATGCAGAAAGCAGGAGGTGGGGGTCTGTGCCACAGTCTGCTGCCCCGAGACCTGTGTCCGTGGGGTGTGCCGGCTGCCTGGGACTCCCCAGGGGAGTGAGTTGGGGGGGATGCTGTGGGGAGTGAGGTGGTGTAGACGCTGTGGGGAGTGAGGCAGGGTGGACGCTGGGGGGAGTGAGGCAGTGTAGACACCATGGGGAGTCAAGACCCCTACAGCAGATTATGTATAGACAGACGGTGGTCCATCCACACAACAGGACGTCATTCAGCCTTGAAAAGGAAGGAATCCTGACGGAAGCTACAGAAGGATGAGCCCGGAGGACATGGTGCCCAGTGGACTAAGTCATCACACAAGGACGAAGCCTTGGTGACTTCACTTTTGAGGCTCCTGCGGAGTCAGATTCAGAGACAGAGCAAGGGGGTGGGGCCAGTGGCCAGGAGGGCAGCGGTGTCAGTGTTTCCCGGGGACCGGGTTTAGGCTTTGCAAGATGAAGAATTCCGGGGCTGGATGCTGGGGACGGCCGCACGGCGTGCTGAGTGCATGTACATCGTGTATATTTCACCACAACCGAAAAAATAAAACTGAACACCTACTTCTGTGAATCACACACGGAAAATGCGATCTCCTCGCTTCTGCACAGAACAGCTTCCATTGCTGTGAGGGTTCAAAGGAGGAGAGGCCGGCGGAGCAGAGGAGAGGGCAGAGCGCAGAGCCTAGCCCGGCCGTAAGAGAAAGAAAGGCATTCTCCTCCCAGGGCCTGGGGCGGGGTGGGGGCGGGTACACTGTTTTCTCTCTGTTCCCTGTTCAGTTTTCCCATTTCACTACTGAGGAGGACACACTTTCTTCCTTTCTTTATCCCTTGAGACACAGAAAGGGCTAAAGAGAAGAGGTTCCGAGCCGCCTCTGGAAGGCCAGTGGGGCTGCCCAGCTGAGAAGGACTCCTGTAAACCCCGAGCAGCCTCCCACACGGTGCTGACCCACACATCACTCAGACAGGTTAAACGTGGGTGGAAGGTGAAATAGGACTTGGAATTAAGGAAAGAAGTTATTGCTAAGACCTTCAACTCAAACAGAAGTTATAAATTTTCCTTTCCGTTGGAAATTTAAGAAATTGTGTCTTATTTTTAAGCTTGAGAACTTGAAAGCCTCTCTCCCCTTTGCTTTATTTTCTTCAGCCTGCCTCTGGCTCTTGGGCTGATGGGGTGGTGCTCAGAGGCCCTTCATGCCTCCTCAAGGCCCTCGGGTGCCCCCGGAGACCGGGCTGCCTTTTCCCCACCACGCCCTCCCACCTGCAGGAGTCGCAGCTCTGCGGGGCCGTCTCCAGACCACGTGTGTTCTTGTCATGTGCGCTGTTCAGAGTGCCTCCTGATGAAGGAGGCAGAGGACGCCCCGATTCTAATGGCATTGATCTGACTTAGGAAGCGAGCGCAGGGGTTTGGCTAGAAACTGGCATGAGGATGCACCCGCAGAATCAGCAGGAGGGTGGCCCTGCGCGTGGTCCCAGCCGAGGCTCCGAGTCGCCCGCCGTTGGGAGCCTGACCTCCCCCTGCACCGTCTCAGGCCTGAGCCGCCACCCAGCAGCTCCCAGGGAAATCTGTGCAGACGCAGAGAGCAGGTGACACACTTTCTGTGCTGGTGAATCAGTGCCAGTTGTACTTCAGGGCAAGCCAGGGCTGCAGGGACAGTGTAAAGTCACACCGGGCGTGAGCCAGGCTCAGAACAAAGGGCGAGGCTGCGTGTTTTCATATCGGTGATTAACACGGAAAGCGCACCCTCTGTTTACGCTGGGGCCGCGCCAGCCGGAGCGGCCTGTGGGCGTGCAAGGCCCTTTGTAGTGGGAGCGGGCGGGGTCCACGAGGCCACCGAGACCTGGGAGCACAGTCGTGCCGCGCGGGAGATGGCGGGAGGGCGGCTGTAGGGTCAGACGACCCAGGACCCTGGGGAAGCGGCCTGGGGTCACAGGGGAGGCAGACCACCCCGGGGTCACAGGGGAGGCAGGCCATCCCGGGGTCACAGGGGAGGCAGGCCACCCCGGGGTCACAGGGGAGGCAGAGCCACCCTGGGGCCACGAAGCAACGCTGGGCACCATCCTCCAGCCCCTTCTCCTCAGGAGTCCCTAAAGGAAGATGGTCACAGCTGTGGGCCAGTGTGCGGTCAGGAGCCCCTGCAGGCCAGGCCCCCAGGCTGCACACTCAGCCTGTGCGTCTCCATCCCCAAGCTCAGGTTTTCTCACTTTGTCACAAAACCAGTGCCTCCAGGGTCCATGGAAGGAGGCCGATGCATGTGGAGGCGGTTGGAAAGCAGGCCACCCCTCCCGGGAGCACCCCCTGCCCCCTCCGTCCATGCCCTCCACGTGGACCCTTGCAGCCTGGGTCCCTGGCACAGCTGGGAGCCCCCGTCCCAGAAGCTGTCTGATGTCGGCAACTTG